TCTGACAGTCTCAAAACAGCATTCTGAGACAATTAACCAGTATAAGAAATTCTGTCAGAGGAGAGTGGGAAACAACTGCAAGCAGTCATTTGGGGGAACTAGTATGAAAAGTCATACGAGTCACAGAGGCTTGCACGGGGAAGCCTGGGGATAGTTGCCATTCCCGATATGGACTGTCTATGGGGAGACGAAGCATTGAATTGTCTTAACCTCTTTGAGTTAGTACTATTCTACACTGTCAGGTTTCTGTCACTGTAGTGGATTTCAGTTACTCTTAGTGGCTCTTGTGCAATACGCTCACATGGTTGTGGTTTCTGTTTCTTCCTGAAGCCAATGAAGGCCGGAATGACTATCACCCCATGTTTTTCACCCATGACCGTGCGTTTGAGGAGCTATTTGCCATCTGCATCCAGCTGTTGAACAAGACCTGGAAAGAAATGAGGGCGACGGCAGAAGATTTTAATAAGGTCAGAGCGGAGAGGAGGTATTTTTGTTGAATCTTTTGCAGAACAGCACATGTTCACTCAGCCTGTACACTTGGTTGAAGTGTAGGGTGCAGAAGGTGTGACAGGGCATTGACGTGGGCTGTAAGGGAGGATGGTCCAACTTTTATTTGGCATGACCTGAGGTCCTTCTTTGTTCATCTGGATCATCCAAGTTACTAGTACGTTGACACTCTTGGCCCCGGTTATTCTATGTCAGTTCTTTGCTGCCGCTGTGCTGTGCCCTGGTTCTCTGCTGCCATTAAGCAGCAAGAATATGACTTGCTCTTCTCCCTGCCCCAACCTGTTTAGGTTATGCAGGTTGTGAGGGAACAGATCACACGGGCTCTCCCCTCTAAACCAAACTCCTTGGACCAGTTCAAGAGCAAACTGCGCAGCCTGAGCTATTCTGAGATTCTGCGACTACGCCAGTCGGAGAGAATGAGCCAAGATGACTTCCAGTCACCACCTATTGTGTAAGTGCCTGACAAAAACAGTTGCCTTCTGCGCTTGCTGTTATCTCCGTTTGCTGCTTACTCTTCCATGTTTGATTGGCAGGGAGCTGAGAGAGAAAATCCAACCTGAGATCTTGGAGCTGATAAAGCAACAGCGCCTGAACAGGCTTTGTGAGGGAAGTAGCTTTCGAAAAATTGGAAATCGCAGAAGACAAGGTAAGGTGACAGCGTCTACTGCATTTTTTCAGGTGAAGAACTGTAGGCAAATAATATCTAATGGATTAATCTGTCAGCAGGCGTGTTGTCAGAAAAGAAAGGTGGTTACCTGGGCTGTCCATACCAGCCAGTAGTTTGGGATGGGACAGATGTGCATTTCTGAGAACACAGCCATCCCCTCATGGACAGGAAGCAGTGCTGAGGGACTGGCTGGGGTGGCTATAGGATGTAGTGGCTGTAAGACCTGATGTGATTGGTCTTGCTCAGCTTACTCTACTTGTGTGTTCCAGAAAGATTTTGGTATTGTCGCCTGGCTCTGAATCACAAGGTGCTACACTATGGAGATCTGGAAGATAATGCCCAGGGGGAAGTGACCTTTGAATCTCTACAGGAAAAAAGTAAGTCCTGTGTACTGCTCTGAGCACACTGTGCCATTGTTCTGTGCTCTGCGGGCTGGAGGCTGTTCTGAGTGCCATCCTAGCGATGAGAGAAAAAGAGCTGTGGCCGAAGCCCTTACTGAGATGAGATCAACTTTTGGTCCTTGCCCAAATCCTTTGAGTCTTGGAATTGCTTGGTATTTCTTATAATAGCCAACTGTAGGGACGTGTTACTGGTAATGTGTTTTGGAAAACCGCAGTAATGAGCTACAAGACCAGGAACAATGCTCAGTTGCAAAGACAAAACAAAGTGCTGTCTTTTCATGGTTAGGATTTCTTCTTTGTGAGTTTTACTTTTTCACTGTTAGTTCCAGTTGCAGACATCAAAGCCATTGTCACAGGGAAAGATTGTCCACACATGAAGGAGAAAAGTGCACTGAAACAGAACAAGGTAAGTTCTCCCTTTTTGCCTGTAATTAATATCTAATGCTGTAAAGTTGAAGACTGTGAAAGCAAGCAACAGGAGCAGATGGTCTTCCATACTGCAGGTGTGTTGTTTACAAAACCCATCTCATATCTGGGCCTTTTCGTAGTACTCTTTTGTGATTGTGGGGTGCTGTGAGGGTGGTCTGGTTTTGCTATAGGCCATTCAGAGTTGCTGGGACTACTGATACGGGAAATGCACTGAGCTGCAGCAAGGCAGCTTCTCTGGCTGGGTCAGCAGGCAGAAGGTGCTGTGGTGTTTTGTTCAGCCAATGAGCGAAAGATTCTTTTCCTTTCAGGAAGTGTTAGAATTGGCCTTCTCGATATTATACGATCCCGATGAGACCTTGAACTTCATCGCACCTAATAAATATGAGGTAAGAAACATCAGTTAAGCAGTAGAATATAAAGCAATTAACTTCAGAGATTAAGAAGGATCAGTTGCTTCTTGCTAAAGTCTTGAGCACGGTGTCTCCCTCCAAGGTTCGTTCTTAGAAAATGTTGTCAATGCTTAGTGTGAGTTTCTTTTTTTTCCTCCCAGTTATCTTTTTTTAATTATCCTACAGTCCTTTCCCTTAGTCTAGACTGTTACTTTCTTTTCTCCTATGCAGTCAGGTGTTCCCTTTTCCCGATACTGTAAGACACTGATGCCTAAAATAGCTTTACTTTTTTTGTTATGCTAGAGTAGAAACTTGTAGCCCCCTCTACAGCCACGGCGTGTGCTTGCCTCTAGACTTCTAACTTCCATTGGAAACCTCTGGGGACACTGTCTCAGCATTGGGGTATTTTTTCCCCCATAGGTTAACTCCCTCCCGTGTTTCCTATTTTGGAGCTATAGAGGAGTATCTCTAATTGTTGCACAGATGGAAAGATTCAACACAGCCTGGAACTGCGAATTATCTTTTCTTTTTTTTTTTTTTTAATGCAGTACTGTATCTGGATTGACGGGCTTAATGCTCTCTTGGGGAAGGACATGTCCAGCGAGCTGACGAAAAGCGACCTGGACACGTTGCTGAGCATGGAGATGAAGCTGAGGCTCCTGGACTTGGAGAACATCCAGATCCCGGAGGCGCCGCCGCCCATCCCCAAGGAGCCCAGCAGCTACGACTTCGTCTAACACTACGGCTGGCCGGGGCCCCGCTGCAGGGGCGC